TCTCACCAGAGATGGAGAAAAGTCCCAGTTCAGTGATGTACTGGAAGTCATACCATCAGTGTAAAAACTTTAAGGAACATTCTCTCACATGTACAGCTACTGATTGACAATATAATAAAATCAGATATAAACACAGTTAAAACAAGTGTGTGTGTGTGTGAGTCTGTGTGTACTACCTTGACATTTCTGAAGAAAGTTAGAGCACAAAATGTGGAGGCAGCTCTGGCATTTGGCTGGCAACACCATAGCTAAGGATGCTCAATCACTCACTGTTTTTTAAAATAATAATAATAATAATAATAATAATAATAATAATAATTTGTAAAACAAGTGACAATGAGGCTGAAGAACACCCAAAGGAAGCATACCTTCTGCCCTGAAAGCCTATTGGCCTCACTCTAAATGTATGATCATTAGCAGCAGTCCTGTGGGATAAATGTACTTTGCCCATGCTCAAGGTTCTGCTATAACATTGCTTGCCTAATGGCTGCAAGCAGGTTCTGAGATTAGGCAGTGAGGCAGGTGCCTCAGGTAACAGTTGTTGACGGGGAGGGGCAGAATACGGGGCATGGCAGAAAAGTACTGGAAGATGGAACTGAGTATGTGTCACATGACTTGTCAAGTACCATCTAATCTCCCCTGCTGCCCGCTGGTGTGGTTAGGGTTGCCAGACCCTGTAGAGATGGCCTGAATTTTCCTGGTTGATCTAGCCAGTCCAGGTAACAGGGAGAGTGCTTGAATTTCCAGTTGGGCAAGAGCTCCTTTTTTTGAAAAAAAGAAACTTTTAAAGAAAATTGTGCATGCAGCCCGGCAGGACCCAGATGCAACTGCATAGATTCTCGGGGGGGGGGTGCACCTCTGCTTCCTCCTCCCCCAATTAACTTCCATCTCTGCAAATTATTGCATAGACTCTCAGGCCACCCTCTTCCTCTCTCCCCAATAACTTCCATCTCTGCAAATTATTGCACAGACTCTCAGGCCACCCTCTTCCTCTCTCCCCATTAACTTCCATCTCTGCAAATTATTGCATAGACTCTCAGGCCACCCTCTTCCTCTCTCCCAATTAACTCCCATCTCTGCAAATTATTGCAGAGGCTGTCAGGCCAGCCCTCTCCCAATAAACCTCCGTCTCCGCATATTATTGCATAGATTCAATGGCATCACCAGGACCCACTGCTAGGTCTTAGGTTTGGGCTCTGAAACCTCAAGGCCTGGGATGCTCCAGACCTGACAACCGCAGGCGTAAGTGGAAGACGCCGTTCCCATCGCCAGTCAGGTCAGAGCTCTATGCTTGGAACAGGGCGGGGCAGGCAACATTTTGCCCAGCACTGCAAGCAGCAGAATGTCCTGGTCCAGATGGGTCCAGGTGGCTTTCAAAATCTTCCGGAGGGCCCCGCTCCCAGTGCGCAGGATTCTCCATGCGAGAGACCTCGCCATGGCCACATGCCAAAAAGGCTCTTGGCTTCTGAGAAGCAGCAGCGATGGAGCCAGCTATGCTTCGGAAACCTGAGGTGCTGATTGCTCCAGTGACTCTGCAGCTCCTTAAAATAGCAGGCCTGCGTTACTAACAGCTCTGCGGCAGGAATGCAAGGAGAAGAGCCGAAGAGTAGGCTCAGAGGCACCAGCTGCAGCTAGCAAGACAGCCATGGGCAAAGTCCTACATCTATTATTATTATTATTATTATTATTATTATTATTATTATTTACCCACCCTTCACCCTAAGGTCTCATGTCAGGCCACATGGCTCATAGTTAAACTATGGAACTCCCTCCCACAGGAGGCAGTGATGAGCACCAGCTACCAAAAGAGGTAGTGATGATCACCATGGAGCCAGGATTTGCTGCATACTCTCCAACATTTCTCCAATGAAAATAGGGACTTTCTATTCTATTATTGGGACGCAGGTGGCGCTGTGGGTTAAACCACAGAGCCTAGGACTTGCCAATCAGAAGGTCAGCGGTTCAAACAGGGTGAGTTCCCGTTGCTCGGTCTCTGCCCCTGCCCACCTAGCATTCGAAAGCACGTCAAAGTGCAAGTAGATAAATAGGTACCGCTCCGGCGGGAAGGTAAACGGCGTTTCCGTGTGCTGCTCTGGTTCGCCAGTAGCGGCTTAGTCATGCTGGCTACATGACCCGGAAGCTGTACACCGGCTCCCTCGGCCAATAAAGCGAGATGAGCGCTGCAACCCCAGAGTCGGCCACGACTGGACCTAATGGTCAGGGGTCCCTTTACCTTTATTCTATGATTAGTATTGCTGTTATTATTATTCCTGTTTGTACTCCACCCATCTGACTGGGTTGTCCCAGCCATTCCGGCCAGCTTCGAACATAAGAAAACATTCAACGTTAAGAAAACTTCCCGATACAGGGCTGCCTTCAGATGGCTCGGGGATCAGATAACTCCCTACCCTCCAACATATCTCTGATGTAAACAGGGACGTCCTAAGGAAAAGTGGGACATTCCAAGATCAAATCAGAAACTGGGGTGTCTTTTGTAAATTTGGGAATGTCCCGAGAAAACAGGGACACTTGGCGGGTTTGTTGGTGTAGTGGTTAGAGCGAGAGACAAAAGCTGTGTAATGAAAGTGCTAAAGGCACCATCTGTGGGGAGGGAATTCTACAACTTGGGGCGGCCACAGAGGAGGCCCTTTTCTGGGATGCCAGCACCCCATAACTTCTGAAAGTGGAGATACCTACTGTTGATCTTAACCCCCCGCAGGAAATGAGGCAGTCTGTCAGCCAGTCTCTGGGTTGAAACACCCTGCCCACAATTTTCACTCTTTTTTTAACCTGCGTTTAAGTCGTATTTCTTTATCAACAAAATTAAAAATTCTCTGCTGAATGCTTCAGGAACATGGAGACAGTAAATGACTGCCCCATGCAGGAGATGGAGGAGAATCTTAAGCGGTGTCGGGGGTGGGGGGGGTGGAATTACAAGAATATGAGTGTTTGCCAGGTCTTGTCCATGAATTTTTGAGGGCGGTGTTAACTAGCTCCCAGTGTTGTGAGCAGTGATTTGTCTCCTGCTCCCTGAGCATATAAAACCACAATAAGGCTCCAGAGAGCCTTTTGCCCTCAACTGCAGACCCCCGCTCCATTCCCAATTTTTCCTGGCTGCGTTGCCACTTCTCCTGGGAGGATAGATCATTTTGTCCTCGTCTAAGCCCCCCTCCTTCTTGCCTGCCTGTGCCTTGCTCTGGACAGGCTGTAAATCCAGCCCAAAAATAACCTCCGGTTCTGCTTCAGACTTCGTGAAATATTCATCTCCCTCTCTGTCTTCTGGGCCACCGTTTCCTCCTAAGAGATGATGAAGCAGGAACCGGTCGATGCTATTGATCCAGGCAGATCTGAGCTGTCTGCATAAAAGGGGCTGATTAAGGTGGGCACAGAAGGTTCCATCAGGGATGTCCCTGGCCTCTGTTGAGGGTAGAGCAGACACCCCCAAACTCATCCCTCCAGATGTTTTGGGACTACAATTCCCATCATCCCTGACCACTGGTCCTGTTAGCTAGGGATGAAGGGTGTTGTAGTCACAAAACATCTGGAGGGCTGAATTTGGGGGTGCCTGGGATAGAGGGTAGCTGGGCAGGGGGACAGAGCCGGCCCAACCATAAGGTAGGTGCGGTTGCTGCTTCAGGTGGCAGAAGCCCCTCAGCAGGGGTGCCAACTTGAATAAAATATGGCGGGGCAGATAACAGACCCTCCAAGTGTCCCTATTTTCCAGGGGCAGCCCTGGATTTACAGAAGGCGTCCTGGTTTCTGATTTGATCCTGGAATGTCCCGCTTTTCCTTCGGACGTCCCTGCAGCCAGGGAAAAGGACTTGAGGAGGGCACAATCTGACACCACTCCAAAGAGTCATAAAGGTAAAGGTAAAGGGACCCCTGACCATTAGGTCCAGTCGTGACTGACTTTGGGGTTGTGGTGCTCATCTTGCTTTATTGGCCAAGGGAGCCGGCATACAGCTTCCAGGTCATGTGGCCAGCATGACTAAGCTGCTTCTGGCGAACCAGAGCAGCATACAGAAGTGCCGTTTACCTTCCCGTCGGAGTGGTACCTATTTATCTACTTGCACTTTGACATTCTTTCGAACTGCTAGGTTGGCAGGAGCAGGGACCGAGCAACGGGAGCTCACCCCGTCGCGGGGATTCAAACTGCCAACCTTCTGATTGGCAAGTCCTAGGTTTTGTGGTTTAACCCACAGCGCCACCCGCATCCCTCCAAAGAGTCATGGCTTCCCCCAAAGAATTTTGGGAGGTGGAGTTCATTCAGCGTGCTGGGAGTTATTAAAAGACCCCTGTTGTCCTCAGACCCTCCAAGGGTCCCCTTTTTCCTGGACAGTCCTGGATTAACAGAAGCCGTCTCAGTTTCTGATTTGATCCCGAAATGTCCTGCTTTTCCTTAGGATGTCCCTATTTTCATCAGAGAATTGTTGGCGGGCATGGAGTTATGCGACCCCTGAGCCAAAGAGATAAGTAACTATACAGTACAACCTTTAGAAGACATCTGAAGGGAAGTTTTTAAATGTTTCATGTTTTCTTAGGTTTTTATATGTGTTGGAAGGTGCCCAGAGTGGCTGGGGCAACCCAGCCAGATGGGCAGGGTATAACTAACAGCATCATAATCACTATTATTATTATTATTATTGACGTCCCTATTTTTATCATAGAAATGCTGGAGGGTATGAGCTAAGCCCTCCCCTCGTAAGCCCTCTCCTCCAAGAATCTGTCTAATTCTCTTAAAGGCATCCAAGATGGCAGCCATCACTGCCTCCTGTGGGAGGGAGTTCCAAAGTTTAACTATGCGCTGCATGAATAAGTCTTCTATCTGCCACAGGGTTGTTGTTGTGGGGATGGAATAAGGATGGGCAAACCATGTCTGTCACCTTAAGCTCCTTGGAGAAAAAAGTGGGATACAAATGAATAAATTAAATAAATGACTAACTAAAGAGCTCTGAAATGTGGGCGGGAGGACCGCAGCTTCCCTGCGCTCTATGCTGAGAGACCCAGTGTGGTGCAGTGGTTAGTGTGTCAGACCGGTGTGTCAGACCAGGTTCTAATCTGGTAGAGTTCAGGGTTCAAATCCCTACTTGGCCATGAAGCTCCCTGGCTGACCCTGGGTCCAGTCACTGCCTTGAAGCCTACCTCACAGGGTTGTTGTGGGGTGAAGGAGAAGCATGCATGCCATTTTGAACGCCTTGGAAAGAAAGATGTGATACAGACATGATAAAACCTAAAATAACGCTAACGTGAACACACACTGTGTCTTTAAACAGAGAGAAACCGAGCAAGAGAGAGTTTTGAAAGAGCTTTTATTTATTCAAAAAGAACATATAAGAAAAAAAATGACATCTTGGAATATGCACACTAAAATATTAACAAAAGAATTATACAAACACTTTCTCCCCCTTTTCCCCTTCCCATGTTCCCTCCCCACCCAAATTACATATATTTACATGGCTGGGGGCTTTGCTTTTTGATTAGCTCCTTATTCTGAGCCAATCCTGCACTTTGAGCAACAATCCCCCTTTCTCTCCTCCCCCCCTTTGGCTCAGTTTACCTATTGCTAAGGCGGCCATTTCTTGCCGCAGACTTTGCTTACATTGGGTGACTGAAAAGCAATTAAGTTCTACACACAATGGAAATGCTTTCTTATATGTGGGTTGGGAGGAGGAGGGGGGTGGAGAACCCAGCACCAAACGTTAAGGAGGATTTTTTTTATTTTTTAATGAATAAGGCTGTAGTCCTGTGCCCACTTACCTGGCAGTAAGTCTTGGGTACCTGAAAGGGGCTTGCTTCTGAGTAATCATGGATTACTCAGGTTGATCCAGGGGCTGCAGAAGAGGAGGGCTATAGATCGTTTGCGGGGGGCAAACTCCCGCCTGTTTATAACACCTTGCTTTCAGAATTCGCATCGGCTGCCAGTCTGCCATGGGGCCGAGTTCAAGGTACTGACATATATGTCCCTACACTGTTTCAGGACCTGGTGACTTGAGGGTCCGCCTTATCCCTTACACACCCAGCGTGGGTCGCTCTCCTGCAAGTGTCAAAGATCTCAAAAGCCTGCACTGCAGCAGGGCCTTCAACGTGGCGGCCCCTGCTTCTGTGGAACAGAATTCTCATTGGCGCCCTCTATCTGCGCTTTCCAGAAACAATCCGGATGGATGGAAAGCTCTCTGCCTTCGGCATGTGGCTTTTTAAGACCTCTCTTTAGTTATTTGTTTGTACTGTTTAAAAAAACCATTTTCCGTTGCTTTCATGGATGGTTTGCAAATCACATTGAGACTCGCCTGGAAGGTGTTTCATAAACTGAATGGAATGGTAATTTCACCGCTGAGCCTGCGTGTTGCTCCCTGGAAGGAGGATATGTGTCTGCTTAGCCTTGGATATTCTAAATAAGCATTAAGAAGAGGAAAGTGGAGCTTACAGGCATGTTTCTTTTCTCTCCCTCCATAGATTCAGAGCACCCAAAACTGCAAAGGAGCTTTAACCCTTTCTTCATTTCAGGGGAATTGCAGGATTGTCACGTTGGAAGGGACCTTAAGGGTCATCTAGTCCAACCCCCTGCAATGCTGGGGCTCCATGGTAGAGCCCTTGCTTCGCATGCAGAAGTTCTCAGGTTCAGTCTCCAGCATCTACCTTCCTTTGCTGTTGCAAAGACAAATTTCTGGTGTTTTTCCTTCTTCTATTCATTCTGAATGCGTGTTAGAGATTATTCCCAATAAAATGGTTTCAACTCCATCAAATCCTGGGAGATGTAGTTTGTTGAGGAGGTGCCTATTCCCCTCACGGTGCTGCAATTCCCATAGTCAGGGCCAGCCCTCCCTTAAGACTAGGTGAGGCAATCACCTCAGGCGGCAGGATCCACAGGGGCAGAAGATACTGATATATATCTTTATCTCACCCCCCTTGTTCCTGATGTAGATCTTGACTCACCCCCTTCTTCCCCTCCTTCCCTGGCAGGGAATTGGGCGCCATTTGGTGGTTGGCCTCAGGTGACAAAATGTCTTGGGCCAGCACTGCCCATAGTGGCTTAACAATCAACCTCTCTTCAAAGGGAGCTCTGGGGTATGTATCTCTGTGAGGGCATTAGCGGTCTCCTGACAACTCCCAGCACCCTTAACAAACTACAGCTCCCAGTTTTCTTTGGGGGAAGTTTATAGCTGGTTAAGCATGCAGAGAGTTGTCAGGACACCCTCCAATTCCCCTCACAGAGAGCATTATGATGCTACCTCAAAGAGTCATGGCTTCCCCCAAGAATTCTGAGAGCTGTTGTTTGTTCAGGGTGCTGGGAATTATTAGGAGTAACCAAACACATGGGGACCAGACGCCATTATTGCATTGGCCACGGGAATTATTAGGTGGCTCCCATTTTCCTCACAGAGATACAATTCCCAGTTACCCATGAAGAGGGACTGACCGTTAAACCACTTTGGGAACCATGACTCATTAATGGCGCATACCCTCCAACATTCCTCTGATGAAAATAGGGACGTCCTGAGGAAAAGTGGGACATTCCGGGATCAGATCAGAAACTGGGATGGCTTCTGTTAATCTAAGACTGTCCAGGGAAATAGGGACCCTTGGAGGGTCTGAGAACAATAAGGATCTTCTAACAACTTCCAGCACCCTGAATGAACTCCATCTCCCAGAATTCTTTGGGGGAAGCCATGACTCTCTGAAGAGGTGTGCAAGAGTGCTTTCAATGGACAGTGTTGTGAGTGTGGCCTGGGACTCCCTCTACATCTCTCCGCAGCGCCTCAGGCCTGCTCTGCGTCCTCCTTTTTCCTGGCTGCAATGTGTCCTTAAGCCATGAACTGACCACTTGTTTCACTGGATGATGGAGAAATGTTCATGCAAAGGTGTAGAAGAAGAAGAAGAGTTTGGATTTGTTATCCCGCCTTTCACTCCCTTTAAGGAGTCTCAAAGCGGCTCACATTCTCCTTTCCCTTCCTCCCCCACAACAAACACTCTGTGAGGTGAGTAGGGCTGAGAGACTTCAGAGAAGTGTGACTGGCCCAAGGTCACCCAGCAGCTGCATGTGGAGGAGCGGAGACGTGAACCCGGTTCCCCAGATTACGAGACTACCACTCTTAACCACTATACCACACTGGCTCCCAGTGTAGAAACCTCTGGCAGGTTTTGTGCACCATTGGAACACAGCCTGCTGGACAAAGGAAAGAATCCTGTCCTTTGTGTCCGTCCCCCCACTTTTGTCTGTGCCCTGCCCCACCACCGGTACCTGGCCCCCGGCAGACTACTCCACGAGGGAATGTGGCCCTCGGGATGAAAAGGGTCCCCCACCCCCTGACTGAGGCGATGAGCGAAAAGCAGTCTTCCTGGCTGCAGCAGTGGGGCAGAGGGTGTTCTCTATGTCAGGTACGCACGCCAACTTTTATACAGAGATTTACACACGTGTACACAGGCACACACAAAAGCTGCAAAGGCACCATTGGAATGAGAAGGTTTCAGCCACTGTCCGAGGAAACTGAGGCTCCCACAACTGGAGCGCTGTCCTTGCGAGGGCTGGCAACATCCGTCTGAAAGAGGAAGGGCCCATTTTGCCCAGTTAATTTGAGCTGAGGCAGGAACCGCTCCTGAAACAAGCTTATTCTTTAAAACGGAGAGCAGGAAGGTAGCCAAACTCAAAGGCATCCGCCGCCTCCAATCCCATACCTGTGTCTGACAGGGGCTGATGGTTCCTTTGCAAATGCTTGGGGATCCACTTTATTTTAAATAGGTAGCTTCATTTTACATTTTGCAAAGGCTCTTCAGATGATATGGCCACAGGCAACTCACAGCTTAGGCGCATTTAACTTGCACGCATTCAGCTTTATGCACCACCCCCAAAATAAAAATTTACGGGGCAGTGGAAACGGGGAGGTCATCCGGGGGAAAGGACTTTGGAAACCCCACCTGCCATTGAAAACACAATATGCAAATTTTGGCTTTATGCATTATCCCCAGAACAGAACCCCAGCATGAGTTGAGAGTCCCTGTATTCTAAAATAGGAATGCTGCTTTCTGAGACGTTCTAGCCTGTTGGCATGTTTCTGCTGAACAGCACCTACCGAAATCATGTTTTTGTTGTTGTTTTTATTTTAATCCATCCATTCCTAGCCTTGGTTTCACTCATAAATCCATCCCACCCTGTTTCTGCATTAATCTGTTATTTGTTTATTTATTTATTTAATGTGCTCATATTTGACTTTTCAAATAAATAACTTAATATAAGTTATTTATTTGACAAGTCCAATTTAATTGCACAGCCCAGAAATCCTATAGCCGATTGTGTTGGAAGTGCAGCGGCACAGGTCATTCCGTTTGTACCTTAAGGGTTAATTCTGTCCCTATTGAAACAGAGGTGTTGCTTAGCAACCAGGCAAGTCACCTGATCCACGTGGACTTGAAATACCACCCTGTGGCCACTTGCAGCTCTGGTGGCGCTGCAGTACAGGCAAGAGTTGACTGTCAGGGTCCACCCCTGCTTAGACTTGGAGCCCAAGGTCAAGGAGGAGGTGCAGGAGGAGCAGGATCCCCCCAAGCAGACCCACACACCCCGTCACTGACCCTTTGGACCCAGACGTCTCCTCGTCCAGTTCTTGGCCAACTGTCTCAAGATAGCACCCCCTACCCATCAACCCCAGCAAATAAGCTGCATGCAAGCCTCCTCGGGAACAGGGGAAGTGCATGCAAGCCCTTGCCTGGATCAGGGCCTGGCTCAGACCATACCTTCCAGCCCATCACAGGAGCCTGCAGAGAGCTCCCGCGTCTTCTGAGTGGTCACAGTTGTGCACGTTCCAGCGGATGTGGGAGCAGCGCAGCAGGGAGTTCTCGTCACCTTTGCACTTGAGGTTGTCGAGGAAGATGTAGCCGGTCCCTTGGCCGTAGCGGGCCTCCCCCCAGGCAGCCAAGGCCCCCCCACAGCCCAGCTGCCTGCACACCACCTTCACATCCTTGAGGTCCCAAGCGTCGTCGCACACTGTCCCCCACTGAGACAGGTAGAACATCTCCACTCGCCCTTCGCAGCGGTGGCTCCCGTTGACCAGGCGGAGGAAGCCTGCAAATAGGGGAAACAGAGGGGGGCGGGTGTCACAAGGCTTAAGTGAAGCCCCTCCCCCAAAAAAATCTGTGCCCCACCAACTCAATGGCTGTGCCACCGGCCACCACCCAGTTTTCCCTGTTGCTCCTCAGCTGAGACAATAATGCGCTCTGCACAATGTTACTTTTTTTCTGTATGCCACAACAGCTGCGAGAATATTGCTAGCGAAGAATTGGAAGAAACAAGATTTACCAACTATCAAAGAATGGCAGGTGAAGATGATGGACTATATGGAACTTGCCGAACTGACTGGGAGACTCCGAGACCAGAGAGAAGCAACGGTGGAAGAAGATTGGAAGAAGTTTAAGGAATACTTGAAAAAATATGTTAATATTTAAATCTTAGAATAGTGGATTTAGGCTGTAGGGTTAGAAGATAGTGTATTTTAAAACAGTATTATTTGCAAGTGATAAAATGTGAAGATTTTTATGGTTAAAGTAAGTGTGATAAAAAAATGGTTAGAAATTATGATATATGTAAACTGCTAAAGATGAGGTAAAATGAAAATCAGATAGGGGGGACTTGGGGAAGCCCACCTATGTTTAGAAAAAATAAGGATAAGACAAGAATCTGTTTGTATTGTTTGTTTTCCTGTTTGTGTTGTTTATTTGTGTTATAAAATGAATATTTTATTTGAAAAAATAATAATTATAATGCACTCTGCACAAGCTCAGAGTTCCTCCAAGGAGGAGTCTGTCCACCGCACCTCTGGACGGTTCACTGTTCTGGCTGTGAATAATTTCTCCAGCATCTTTATGCAAATCTGTTCCTCCACCTACCGTAAAGGGAATCTTCTGATTCCTGTTACCCGGAGTGCATTAAGGATATTAGGAGAATCTGCTTACTCAGACTGTATTAAGGACGTGGCAAGAATGCTTGTGCAGGAAAAACTCAGCCTCAAGCGAGCCTGATAGAGAGCAGGTACCCTCTTATTCCCGCTGAATCAGGCATCCGGCTCGAATAACACAGGCACACTTTCCCTCTGAGAATGTGACTTAATTATTATGTATGTGTAATGCTAAGCAAGGGAATGCCTCTGTAATTTTCAGGCCTGGGGGTTCAACTTTTGTGGGCCACTGTTCTGTCTGATCAAGCAAAGGCACCTCATCCATCACAATACTGTGGTGTTTTTTTAAAGCTTATACTGCACAACACAGAATCAGGATTCAGGATGACCTTAGCTGATTGGAGAACTGGGCCAAAACTAACAAAATGAATTTCATCAGGGACAAATGTAAGGTTCTGCACTTTGGCAGGAATAATCAGATGCACAAATATAAGATTGGGGGGGGGGGCACCTGGCTTACCAGTAATATATGCAAAAAGGGTCCAGGGGTCTTAGTAGACCCCAGGCTGAACATGAGTTAACAGTGCGATGCAGCAGCAAAAGCAGCTAATGCGATTCCAGGCTGCATCAGCTGACGTATAATGTCTAGATCACAGGAAGTCATAATCCTGCTCTATTCTGCCTTGGTCAGATCCCACCTGGAGCCTGGGACCAGTTCTGGGCACCACAGTTCAAGAAAGACATAGACAAGCTAGAAGGCAGGCAGAGAGGGAGACCAAGATGATGAAGGGTCTGGTAACCAAGCCTTGTGAGGAATGTTTGAGGGAGTAGGGTATGTTTAGTCTGGAGAAGAGAAGACTGAGAGGGAGATATGATAGCCATCTTCAAATACCTGAAGAGCTGTCACATGGAAGACGGAGCAAGCTTGTTTTCTGCTGTTCCGGAGGGTAGGAAAACCTGAAGGAGCGTCTCCACCCCCATCATTCTGCCTGGACTCTGAGGTCCAGCGCTGAGGGCCTTCTGGCGGTTCCCTCACTGCGAGAAGCAAATCTACAGGGAACTAGGCAGAGGGCCTTCTCGGTAGTGGCACTCACCCTGTGGAACGCCCTCCCATCAGATGTCAAGGAAATAAACAACTATCTAACTTTTAGAAGACATCTGAAGGCAGCCCTGTTTAGAGAAGTTTTTAATGTGTGACATTTTAATGTATTTTTAATCTTTGTTGGAAGCTGCCCAGAGTGGCTGGGGAAACCCAGCCAGATGGGGAGGGTACAAATAAATTATTATTATTATTATTATTATTATTATTATTATTAGACTTGAACCAATGGATTTAAGTTACAAGAAAGGAGATTCCAGTTAAATATCAGGAAGAAACTTTCTGGCAGTAGTCCCTCGGAAGGTGGTGGGCTCTGCTTCATTGGATGTTTTAAACCAGAGGTTGTATTCCAGCATTGTGGAGGGTTGGGTTAGAGGACCTTTGGTGTCCCTTCCAATTCTACAATTCTATGATTCTATGAAATGCTGCAACACTGCCTTGCAGCAAGACGTGCTCATTCCTTCCTGAGCAACAGCCGTAAAGGCAGTGTTCAGAAAAGACAATTCCTCTTCTGTTACCATAGTGCTGCCCCCTGAGAAATCTTGCCCTAGGCAGCCACCTAGAGCAGCGTCTTGCCCTGTTCCTGCCAAACATCAGGAATTTCAGCTGAGAGTCAGCAAGCGGGGAGCTAGAGGCCCTGTGCCCCACATACCATCCTTGGGACGTGTGGTGGTTGATGTGGTGGTGGCAAAAGGGTCTTCTTGGAAGAGATCTCCAGATTCTTCTGCACCTGGGACCAGGGAAAAAGCAAGGGGTACATTTAACAGCGTAGAGACACGCACCCCACACACATCACACAGAAAGGCACTGGGAAGTGCAGTGCAGTGGTTAGAGTTGTACTAGGACCTGGGAGACTGGGGTTCAGGGACCTGTACTAGGACCTGGGAGACCCCACTTAGCCAGGAAAGTCACTGAGTGACCTTGGAGTCAGTCACAGCCTCTCAGCCTAATCCACCTCACAGGATTGTTGTGAGAATAAAATAGGGCGGGAAGTATGCATGCCACTTTGAGCACCTTGGAGGAATGGTGGAACAAGACAATAAAACACCCAACCTTGAAAGTTTATTTAGAAAGAAAAACACTGACTTCATAGAGAATTGGAGAGTTGGAAGGGCCATCTATTCCAGTCCAACTTCCTACCATGCATTTTTATTTTTATTTTTACAAGGTGGCGCCTGTGACAAGGAGCAATTGTCCTGATTCCCTCATGAGCTGTTTACATGTCTTGCTGTTAATCAGCCATTCATCCCACACTTTTCAATGCATTATTTCTCAGTCATTTTCCACACCACAAAAAAGTCTGCTCTGTGTGTGTGTGTGTGTGTGTGTGTGTGTGTTTCATGTGGATTTGTTGTGCTGGGGTGACAAGAGAACTTTGGTCCCCTTTAATCACGCAGAACTAAGATTCCGATAAATACACAACTCCCTCCTGCAAAAGACTGACAGCTTGGAGGCATCCGAGGGGAACCTGCGCTGTTTACATTTTATAACACCAGGTCATTTCTATCTCCCAAAATTCTCTGATCCACTGGAGGTTTTGGAGAGCTGCTTATCCGGGATTCATTAGCTGTGATTCCTGCACAGCAGGGGGTTGCACTAGATCACCCTTTGGCTGGGGGGCTTCCAACCCTACGATGAAACCACAACCCCTCCTTGCCCCCTGACCCTCTCACCTCTGCATATGACGCCGGCATCTTCGTGGTGCCCGCAGTTGTGCTGCCCCCACCCCAGGTTGAAGCAATCGGACAGGTCAGTCTCTGTGCCAGTGCAGTCCACGTTGTCCAGGAGGATGGGCCCGGTGCCGTAGCCGAAGTAGCCCAGCACGGTGGCCACCACCGCCGAGCCGCAGCCCACCTGCCGGCAGACCACCTGGGCGTTGGGGAAGTCCCAGTCGTCATCACAGACCGTCCCCCAGGAGTCCCCGTACAGGACTTCCACCCGCCCTTGGCAACTGCTGTTCCCGTTTGCTAGTCGTATGCCACCACCTGCTGGTCAGAAAACAGAAGGGGAGAAAAGGCCGGAGTGATGTATGGAGGGTAGTGGACTCTCCTTCCTTGGAGGTTTTTAAGCAGAGGTTGGGTGGCCATCTGCCAGGGATACATTAGCAGAGATCCCTGCATTGCAAGGGAATTGGACCAGAACCCTTGCAACTCTACAACTCTATGATTCTGTGATTCTATGATGTCACAAGGCAGGGCATCCCCCACATCCACTTTTCCTTTGATTGGGACCTTGTGGACATTCTGGCTCCAGGTTTTCCTCTCCCCCCTGTTTCACTTTTTCAGAGAGTGGCAAGAGTACCGGCAAGGGGGCCTTGATCCTCATGAATTCTGTTGCTTTAGAAACAGCCTGTATCAATAGTTGCTGGATAGCTGAGTTGGTATGGGAGTGGTGCTAATAACGCCAAGGTTGCAGGTTCGATGCCTGTATGGGAGAGCTGCATATTCCTGCATTGCAGGGGGCTGGACTAGATGACTCTCAAGCCCCACTTTCAACTCTATGACTATGATTCTAAGCAAGGGGCCTCAGTGCCCATGCACAAACTTATACACCTGTGTGCACAGCAGACAACATGCACCCGCCTCCTCCTCCCACCCTTTCAGAGATGCAGAGAATAGGGACCGGGACTTGGAGCAAGTTCAGCGCTAGCAACTCACACCAGCATAGTGTATGGAGGTGGAAACAGGGGCAGTGGTTTATCAAGGACACGGGAAATAGGGGCTGCCTAAACAGGGAAAGCTTGACTATAGAAACCTGACATTGGGGGTGGGGCTGTGGCTCTAAGTGTGTTGCTGAACTACAACTCCCATCATCCTTGTCTGCTGGCCACACTTGCTGGGGCTGATGGGAATCGTAGTGCAACAACACCAGGAGCGCTCAGGTTCCCTGTCACTTACATGGACACAAAGCGGATGTTATGGGATGAGAGAGGAAACACCAGGGCTTCATCCTTCCTGCTCCTGGGTCTGTTTTCACATTGTCTGAAATAAACACCTTCCCATCAGCGAGACAGCCCCCTCAACCTCCAGCTCTCTCAATCTCTTCTTTGCAGATTTTTACATCTCTGATGAAGCTTTATTTCCATCGACAAAGGGCAGGCAAACACTTACTTCTTCTTTCTAGCAGGAGAAGGGCTGAGGTCACCATCATCTCAGTCTCAGGAGAAGGCTGATCTCGACCATCTGTGACTGCAAAAAGATATAGCCTGTCATCACAACAACATCCGGCCTCCAATTATATCTTACCAGTTGCCCTTGGACACAGATGGTCAAGCCACAAGGCAGGAAGGCAACCCTGTGTTTTGAACTCAGCTTCCGGGACTATCTTTTTAACTGCACCTCTCCTGCTGGTCCTTTAATAGAGATTTGAACTGCAGCTTTCTTTCTTTTTTTAAAAAAATAATTTTTATTAACCGGCCAATCAAATCACATCACATAAATTCCGAATTACAAAGCCGAATTTTAAATCTTGTTGAGGGGACCCATATTTCAAGATCCGAAGGGGGATTCTGATCATCTTCTTGCTACTGCGTTAATGTCCAAATCAGTCCAAACAAAGTTCATAATTCTATCCAGTCTTATCTTGCTGTTTCCACATCTCATCTTGTTCGTATATTTTCTCTTTTTTCTTTATGATCTCTTCTGATAATCTCCTTAAGCCGATAAACACCAATAATAATCCTGTGTGAATTTTTCCGTTCGTCCAATCCTCAAATCGAGATGGTTTCCATATATCATTGCATTCATAGATAACATCGTTCTTTCCATCATTAATCACAGAACTGTCGCTCTTAAGTCCCTCTGAGGAGTTTCACCCACAATATAAAAACAGCTCTATTTCTCTATTTCTCCTCCCAGACTTAAGTCCTCCAACAGAACTTCCCAATATGGCGACGGTATTTTTAACTGCGTCATTCCAAAGCCCTTAGACATTCCACGCTCTTCTCAAAACATGCTTTAGTTAGAAAGTTTATCTCCACACAGACGTAAATCCACAGCTTAAGTCCTTCAAACAACATTTCTGACTTGTGGGGGGGGGATTCTTGTTTAATCACATAGAGGAAAGAAAGGAAAGTTTTTTTTCCCCTCCCCCATCCAGTCCCTTTGCCATACCGAGTCTTGGTGTATCTTCATCTGATTGATTCATGTTCCTCCGACTCGTTTATCAGAGATCTCTTCTGTTAGCAGTCTTTACTCCCCCTCCTTCCTTGAAATATGTGCATTTGCTTCATCCTAATCATTTCTTTTGAAGTTCTTGCAGCTAGAGGTGCGGATCAGAGGCAGCGTCCAGGAGCGCCAAAATCCACAGGAGGGCATTCTGCCTAGTGCCCCCATCCCCACAAATACGGGGGTGGTATAGGGCACAGCAGGCAAGGGCAGTCCCCCCCCACAATCCTGGGGGGGTAGGGAGGCTATTTACTCCCATCACAGCCTCCAAATTACCTCGTGTGGGTCGGAGAGATGTTATTGTCAGCCATCTTCTGATGCGCCCCTAGTGGCCCCATTGATCTGCAGCTTTCAGGACCCCAATCTCCAAGCAGTGAGAGACTCCGGGGGTGCCTGCACTTGCCTAGGGTTTGGTTTCCTTGGAATGAAGGTCAGTGGAGATGGTGGTGTCTTTGGGGTATATGGTTTTATTTACACATATATACAATCTGAGCAAAGGATGGAAGGGCTCGTAGCATCAACACCCCACCAGATCTTGCTTCCTCATTCAATTCCAGGGAAGCCCCAAACTCACAGTTTTGGGTCAAGCACAGATCAAGGCATGTCTATGTATCTCCAGCTTCCAGCAGCAATCAAAAACTTTCTCCCCGACCCCCACATAAAGTCCCCCTTGGCCTGTTGTTCTCCATTCTAGGAGGAGGTGGCATTCAGGCAGGTGAGGTGGGAAAAGGCCATTTGTCTTTATGGCAACAGAGCAGCCTCTTTGGACATGTACATGGCAGTACTCAACTGGCCAAATTCAGGCCATTATCTTACAAAGAAGCTGGTTCAACAGCCTCTTCTACTAGACTCTAAACCTCACTAGGTACAGGATCACAGGCCTGGAAGGGACCCACAGGTATCATCCAGACTGACCCGCCAGACCTATAACACTATATTTCTACATGGTGCAAAGTTTCATTTCAGGTTTCCCCCCTCCCCAGTAGCAATGGGTCAAATATGGTTCTCTTCCCATTTCACCAGATTGGGGTTGGAGTGGAGAACTGGCTTGTGCATCTATGACAGGGGTGGGGTTAGGATCTGAAGCATGGTGGATCTAACTAGGCCCCCACAGGCCAAAAGTTCCCCACCACCAATCTATGATCACAACCAGCATTTTCCCAGATAACAAAAGTGTGCTCCTGTATCTTTGAAGTCATGGGAACATAAACTGTCCCCTTTGGGGTTTTGTGGTGGGTGGGATTAGCAACAGCAGGTTCTCCCTTACCTGTGGCTGTATCAGTGAATGACTGTTCATAGTTGGGAGCCACTGAGGTGGTGGCAGCTGTGGTCGTGGTCATCCCAAGACCTGGAAAGAGACAATAGGTCATCAATCAAAGCAAGTCAGTGAATTTAATGTTTAATTCAAGAAACCCAAACGGTGCAGGCCTAGAGATTCCCAGCAGCTCTTCCTAGTAGGTCTTGCTCAAATGAGGCAGTTGCAAACACTGAAGGTCCCCTGCCTTCCCACCACTCCCTAAGATTCCTCCTCTGCCAAGTCTTTCCCAAGCAATCTTAGGCTCTTTCGTCTAGTCTCTCATTGCTCTGCCCTTTTCATCCCTCTGCATGTTCTGGGAGACCAGGGGAAAGAGGAGCTGTTCACAGCAGGAGGGGGAGACTTCCTGGATTCTTCAGCAGCCTGCCTCTACTCTGTCTCTTGATCTCCCTCCTCTCCTGCCTCAGATTCTGTACAGCTCTCTGCCCCAGCCTCTTGCTGCTCACTAAACCCTGTTTCTTCTTCAGCTTACGACACCTCCTCCTCGCCTCTTCTTCCTCTGACCACGCATTGTTGTTCCACCACTACTTCCCTGGCTCTGAGCCTTCTTCCCCTGGGGTTCCCTTGGGGGTTCCCAATCTGGTGACTCCCCCCCCACACACACTTCTGCATCCAGCCAGTCCACAACACTGTGGTTTGTTAAAGGTGCTGAGAATTGTTAGGCGGTCCCCTAGTCCCCTCACGGAATGACAATTCCCAGAGTTCCCTGGGAAGAGGGCTTGATAGAGCAGTTTAACAAGCAGCGAGGAGCCAGGGTGTCAGGCTCTGACCGAGAGGATTGCCCTTTTAAGGCCGTCCTCCCCTCAGGAAAGGAGTGGGTCCTAGGATGAGTTCCCTGGGAAGATGAAAGGCCTCGTTCCATCCCTAGATCTTGCTAGTAGAGCATGAGACTCTATATCTCCATGCCGTGTGTTCGAGCGCCACGTCCACATTGGGCAAAAATATTCCTGCATTGTCAGGGGTTCAAACTAGTTGACACTTGTGGCCCTTTCCAACTCTATGGGAGCAAATCTTGGCGCTCTCCCAGGTTCTGCACAGGGTGGATTTGATTTAAATCAAATCAATTTAAGTCACTAGTCAGTAAGACTTGATTTAAATCATATTTTTTTTACAGAAAGACTCATTCTTGCTGGTATAATCTTAATATTTACAACCAGATGAAGGTTTCTTTTTTGGAATAATAAATTTTCAGAGTAGCTTTTACAGTTATATCAAAAATTACTGATTTGGTTATACTATTAGAAAAACATAGATAATTATAAAATTATTGTGAGGTTTAATAAGTTAACTGTTTACATTTGGACAACTTTTCTGCTGTACTTTATTGGAAGGAGAAAAATAATCATTTCCTTAATAACAATTTTAAAAAATTATTTAACTAAAACAATAACATTATAGCATATGTACCCATGTTTGTTAACTGATGTGGTTAAGGTTTTTTTTGTTTTTTTTAATTAGACTGAGTTTTAGCACGCATGAAAAACTTAAAACAAATCCTTATTTCCTGATGAATAGCCTTTGGACTATAAAGTAACTTAAGTATGGTTTTCCCAGTAGTGATGTATGGAAGTGAGAGCAGGACCATAAAGAAGGCTGATCGCCGAAGAATTGATGCTTTTGAATTATGGTGCTGGAGGAGACTCTTGAAAGTCCCATGGACTGCAAGATCAAACGTATCCATTCTGAAGGAAATCAGCCCTGAGTGCTCTCTGGAAGGACAGATCCTGAAGCTGAGGCTCCAATACTTTGGCCACCTCATGAGAAGAGAAGACTCCCTGGAAAAGACCCTGATGTTGGGAAAGATGGAGGGCACAAGGAAAAGGGGACAACAGAGGACGAGATGGTTGGACAGTGTTCTCGAAGCTACCAGCATGAGTTTGACCAAACTGTGGGAGGCAGTGGAAGACAGGAGTGCCTGGCGTGCTCTGGTCCATGGGGTCACGAAGAGTCGGACACAACTAAATGACTAAACAACAACAACAATCTTTGGAAATATTTTTCATCCAAAAGCATTTTGTTTTAAAAATCTGATTTAAATTTTTAAAAATCCATTTTTTTTTATTTTTAAAAAAATAATTGATTTTTATCCACCCTGGTTCTGCAATGCATTGCTAGGCGTTCACAGGAAGCTGCCTCACACGGAGTCAAACTACAGATACATCCAACTCAGTATTGTCTACACTGACTGGCAGCTCCCCCCGGTTTCAGGCAGGATCCCCCCCCCACCCAGCCCTACCTGGGGATGCCGCTGGGGACTGGATCTGCTGGGGACTGGATCCACTAGGCTATGGCACTTCCCACACAGGGCGGCTGCCCCCTTCGCCTGCCCGGCTGCCCCAAGCCCTGAGGGGTCCACCCACCTGAGCAGATGACACCAGCATCTTCGTGGTGACCACAGTTATGGATGCCCCAGCCCAGGCTGTAGCAGGCTGAGAGGTGCGGCTCGCTCCCATCGCAGTTGACGTTGTCGAGGAGGATGCGCCCCGTGCCGTAGCCGAAGTAGGCATTGGTCCTGTAGTCTACGGCGTGCCCGCAGCCCACCTGCTTGCACACCACAGCTGCATCGCTCAGCCCCCAGTCGTCATCACACACCGTGCCCCAGTTCCCTTTGTAGAATATCTCCACCCGGCCCTGGCAAGCGTTGGCGCCGCTCACCAGCCGGATGCTCCCATCACCTGGAAGAGGGATAGGGAGAGTCAGGGTACAAATTGTAGACTTGGAAGGGACCCCGGGGGTCATCCAAACCGCCTCCACTAAGGGAGACCCAAGAAAGGAACCTGCATTTTAGTAGTGGCCGCAGAGCAGGTTTTTATTATTTTATTTTAATTTCTATACAGCTTTATATTTTTAATAAAAATCTCAAAGCGGTTTACAGCAGGGGTCAGCAACCTTTTTCAGCTGTGGGCTGGTCCACCATCCCTCAGACCATGTGGTGGGCCAGACTATATTTTGAAAAAAGATATGAACAAATTTCTATGCCCCACAAATAACCCAGAGGTGCATTTTAAATAAAAGGACACATTCTACTCATGTAAAAACACGCTGATTCCCAGACCGTCCGCGTGCCGGATTGAGAAGGTGATTGGGCCTCATCCGGCCCATGGGCCTTAGGTTGCCTACCCCTGGTTTACAGCATATTAAATCAATAAATCAATAAAACATTAGCCGGGTGATGCTCCTCTGGCCTCACGAGGAGCCTCTTCAGTAGGGCTGGTGTGTGGGGGCCCTGCCCCCTAGGCCAGGTGGAAAGGGCCTTGCAGGGAGCAAGAAGATAAGGGACTATCTCTCCTTTGTTTCCCCATTATTGGTGGCATCAGCTGCTACAGCAGGAGAAAGGGGACCAATAGTTTCTCTCCTTCATTCCCCCTCCCGCAGTTGCAGCACCTGGTAACCAGGGATGAGGAAGGCAACCAGTAGCAGCAACAGCCTCTCATCACACTGCAGTTTGCAGCGCCACCTGTTGGCAGTCATAAGAACTGCAGCCTGATGAGACCTTTACATTTTTATTATAAGTTAAGATATGAATAACAGCAACACTGTGTACATGTATCGTGTTGCTATTGCGAATTGTGCTAGCCGAGGACAGCTTCTCATGTGAATCCAAAAAGCACTCACTTTCCCCATTTTGCAACGAGGCGGTGGCTGCTTTGCTGATTGGTCCTCTGGATGCTTGGGTGGGCAGCAGCTCTGCAAAAACAAACAAGCCAACAGAAGGATGAACGTCAGTCAATCATCTCCATCAACAGTATCTGATTGCCCTCTGCTATGCATGCAAACATGTATACCTCCAACCTCTTAAGCAGGGCCAGTCAACTTGTTCAATTAATTTCTTAGATAAATCCATTGTGCTTGATGACATTTGACTGCCTATTAGAAGTAGTAGTAGTAGTAGTAGTAGTAATATTTATTAGTATTTTCTGCCTTTCACTAACAGGTCTCAGGGTGGGTTACAATAGGCTCCTTCATTTTATTGTTTCTTATACCAGCTAAAAATGTTTCTATTCAGGCACACCTGTAATTTTATTAGGTACATTTGTTTTTTTTTCTATAAAACTGTTGATTTTATCTATATTTCACTTTTAACAAACATCTGCTTGTCTTTAAAGTATGTTGATTTCATCACTAGTTTCTGATGAATATTTTATGTAAACAACTTAGAGGCGGGCTTTCATATCATTGAAATGATGTCCAAATGTCATGGACTGGCTGGATGCAGAGGAATGGTGGGAGAAACCAGCTGGGGAACTCCCAAGGGAGGAAGGCTCAGAGCCAGAAGATTGGAGGTGGGATGGTGAGAAGGAGGAGGAGACTGGGAGGAGGTGGTGTTGGAAGCTGAAGAGGCAACAGGGTTTAGTGAGCAGGAAGAGGCTGTGGCAGAGCACAGTTCAGACTCCAAGGCAGAAGCAGAGGCCAGGGATTCTCAACCTCCTACTGCTCCCCTTCTGCTGGCCTCCTAAAACACGCAGATAAATTAAATAGGCAGAGCAGAGGGTGGTTGTATGCAGACCCAGCCTGAGACTGCGTGGGAAAGACCCTGGAGAGGAGGAGTGTGAGCCCCTCCATCCTATGCTCAGGTGGTATATATGTGTAAATAAAACCATATATCCTAAAGACACCACAGTCTCCACTGACATTCATTCCAAGGAAACTGAACCTGGAAGTCTTTCAGCATTCAGAGATTGGGGTGTTTGTACATATATAGGACCCACCCTATTCTTGTAACCGTAACTGATCTTAATATTGTATTTTTAAATTACTGTAACCCACCCTGCGACCTCATGGTGGGGGGGAGGTAAGAAATCAAAACAGCAGTCAAACAAATGTGGTATCCTTCATTCTACACCTTTAGGCACCAGGCAAAAATGTTCCTTTTTAACCAAGCCTTTGGTTGACCTGATCAACATCCCATACCCTTTTAAAATGTTGCTCTTTTTTGGGGAGTACTATTGGGTTATTGCTTTTATTTTTATTTTATATACTGTGATCTTTTTAAGTGAACCACCCTGAGACCTCTGGGTATAGGGCGGTATATAAATAATAATAATAATAATCCTTTTCTCTTTTGAAATATTTAATCCCCATGCAATTGTATTACCGTCATAACTTTTTATATTTCTATCCAGCCTATCCTCCACCCTGTTTAAGATACACAGGGTTCCTTAGTGGTGTCCCCTGCAGGACAGCACGGTGCAGTGGTTAGAGTGTCAGGCAAAGACCTAAGAGACCAGGGTTAAAAGCCCACACTTGGCCATGAAGCTCGCTGGGTGACCTCTGGCCAGTCGCTGACTTCCTGTAGCCTAACCTACCTCACAGGGTTGTTGTGAGGATTAAATGAGGATGGGAGAACCATGTGCCCCACCTTGAGCTCTAGGGAGGGGGAAAAGGTGGGATATAAATGCAGTAAATAAGCCTGCTTCACCCCTCTCCCTCCTGCCACTGCCACCAGACAGACCCAAACCTTTGTACCATTACAGGTGACAGCTACGTCCTCATAGTGGTAACAGTTGTGGATGCCCCAGCCGTGGCTGCTGCACTCGCTGAGGGCTGCCTCTCTGCCTTTGCAGTCCACGTTGTCTAGGAAGATGGGCCCACGCCCCTGGCCGAAGGAGAGAGTGGCCGGCATGGCGATGGCATGGCCGCAGCCCAGCTGGCGGCAGACCACGTTGGCATCCACGATGTCCCAGTCGTCGTCACACACCGTGCCCCAGGTGTTGTTGTAGAAGATCTCCACGCGTCCTTGGCAGCGGCTGCGCCCATTGACTAGCCGGACCTCTGGGAGAACAAGGCCGGTCCATTAGAGCAAATGGGACAACACCCTGCCAAACTCAACCTGCCCCCCCTTGCCTGCCTGCAGTCCGCAGTGTAGAATTGCCTGCCACGTTCCTCCTCCTTAGTCCCAGTGTTGCCCTTGAGGAACCCAGCAGGGCTGTCATGGACTGGCTGGATCCAAAGGAGGGGAGGGAGGCGCCAGCTGGGGAACCCCCAAGGGAACCCCCAAGAGGAGAAGGCTCAGAGCCTAGGGAGTGGTGGAGGGACGACAATCAGTTGTCAGAGGGAGAAGGCAGAGAAGACTGGAAGGCATTAGAAGCTGAAGAGGCAACAGGGTTTAGTGAGCAGGAAGAGTCTGTGGCAGAGTGCAGTTCAGACTCTGAAGTGAAAGCAGAGGCTGCAGAAGGGTGAGATCAAGAGGCGGCTGAAGAGTCCAGGGAATCTCCCCCTCCTGCTGCGATCATCACTCCTTCTCCCTGGTCTCTGAGGACGCACAGAGAAATGAAAAGAGCAGAGAAGAAACTAGTTGTGCGCAGACACAGTTTGAGACTGCATAGGGAAAACCCTGGAGAGGAGGAGCCTTAGAGAGGGGTGGGAAGGCAGGGACCTTCAGTCCTCACAACTGTGTCATCAGCGCAAGACCAACCAGAAAGGGTTGCTGAGACTTCTAGGCCTGAGCGGTATTTCAGTTTACTTGAATGAAGAGTTAACTTCGCTGGCATCGGTGACTTATTACCTTCGTGCTGATCTGCACCTGACTCCAGCCCTGACCAGGACGGAGGGTAGGGACAAAATTGGAATGAATTGTCTCTGACTCAATCATTTGCCTCTGGCGCCACCTACTGTTGGGCTCCCTGCCTTCCACCCTACAAATGGGCACCAGCCACCACTGGCCGGGGGACAGGCCTGCCCATTACATCATGGACACTGTCCAATAGGCGCAATGGGAGGGGCTTGCAGGAGGAAGCTAAAATGGGCAAGGATTCAGCAACAACCCAGGCACCATTTAGGAACCCTTTCCCCGATCTCTGCAGTGATCTATAAGACACAGCTTCAAGTGCTGGTTTCTCTTTCGCAACAAGAGCTCACCTGGAACGGGCACCTGTGCAACCTCAGAGCCACTGGCTGAAATGGAGAAAATAAAAGTTAAGGCAGATTGAATGCCACCCCGGATACACACTTAAAGATGCAATTCTGAGCACTTGTACCTGGGAGCGAGTCCCATTAGAAACCCAGAACCATAGAAAACTGACTTATACTTAGGTCAGATCCTTGGTCCATCAGTACTGTTTGCACCAACTGGCAGCATCCTTCTAGATTTTCAGACAGGGTTCTTTCCCAGACGCACCTGGCGATGCCATCAGGGATTGAACCTGGGACCTTCTGCATGCAAAGCAGATGCTCTAACCACACAGATCAGTTTTAAATGCCTATTCATGGATGGGGACCCTGTAACCCTCCAGATGTGGTTGGACTCCAGCTCCCATCATCCTTCACCATCGGCCATCCCAAGAGTACAGATGTGCAGTTTTAGTCTGAGCTGAAAGGGCTCAGGACTTGTGCAGCCAGTGTATAACAATACTGTGGTACCAAAAAAACACAGCTTTTGAGCTCCACAATTAAACAGAAGCCGTGATGTGGTTGATGGGTTCTCTGGGACAGAACTGCTTTTATGATTCCGTGCAGAGGATGATGTTTAAGGTCACTCAACGCAGATTAGATACCTGATCCTCTCCTATTAACATGCAGTGTAACTAACCTTGGCCCAAATCTAAAGGTGAAAAAAGCATTTGGGGATTTCAAAAAACAACAACATACCCACAACTTCTAAATTTCCCATCCTAGATGTGAAGTGTCCTGCAACGCACCCCCCCCCAAAAAAACTCCCCTTGCATGGTGAGTTGTTTGGGCAGCGGGTATTGTGATCTCGGCCTTTGGGCCCTATAGATTTAAGGAATCTTTTAAAAAGATTTGCAAATATCATCCTTATTCGTTTGTTTCCCTGTTATATATTGCTACATGCTATCCTTAGCAGTATGAGATTTCATGGGTTCCAGGCACTTACCCAGGATTTGTGTTTTCTTCAGAAATTGGGCACAGCAGAGATGGCAGTGTCCTTATGTTATATGGTTCTATTTACACCTATATGCCACCTCAGTCCAGATAGAGGGATTGCAGAGAGTTCCCATCCGATTTGGGTCTTAAGGGCAGCACTGGATTCAACAGACAGCAAAAAGCCATCCTCTGTGTCTCTTAGTTCCAGCCTGTCATGCCCAGCTCACACAGAGGTCTGCCCTTCCCTCTCCTTCTCACTGCTAAGGACCTCCCCCCAGCCTACCTCATTCAAGGTTGAAACCCTAAGCCTGAAGAAGGGCCCACCCTTGCCTGCCAGTCTTGCCCTCTGATAGTTTCCTTGATGGCCATCCTTGGCTTTTGTCCCCTGCAGAGCTGGCTTGGTTCCTTAGCATAATTAAATCTAGTTATGTTTCAGTGCTTGGAAAAGTTGAATCAAGCCTTGATTAATTTTGACCCTTACTAAATCCAGGAATTATGGGGAGGATTTGGCACCCAGGAATTTAAGGGAATTTGTCCCCCCTCCCCAACCTGTAACAATATTTTGGAAATGTGTTTGTTCTCCGTGCAGTAGGACACCTCTTAAAATACCATAACTTTTGCAGGGTGCTTCCTGAGATCAAGGAACCTATGTTTGGATACAAGTGGACACCATTCTGAATCAAGATGGCGGACTGAACTCTTCAAAACTGCACTGATTTTTGTTTGTTTGTTTTTTAGAATTCGCAAGCAACCTTGAGTATGAAGCTGCTAGCTGCTCATTGTGATGGCCTGGGACTCAGGCTCGGACTCGACACCAGAGGAGTCTCAGTCTGCACCAGATCCTTTGCCTCAGGCATCATCTGAACCAAGTCTGGGGCCTGACAATGAAGAGTCCCAGTCTGCACAGGTTCCCCTGCAACAAACACCAGCTGGGCTGAGTCAGGGGCCTGAGCCTGCCCTGGCTCCAGATGCGAGGATTACCTCGTTGCCTTCAGCTGGGCCATCACTTACAGCTGCTCCACTACCAGTTGGGTCAGGGGAGGCTGAGGCGGCCTCTGGGTCTAGTAACCCACCGACATCTCCTGAGCTGCAGACACTAAGGTCTGAGAGAAGGAGAGACCTAAGTACTTGCAGGAGGAGTGCTCGCCTTCAGGCGAAACAGGGAGGTGAGTCTCTGGGGGATCAGGACCGGCCATTACCCCGACAAAGATAAAAGGCTGTCGGACCCCACCCCAGGTTGTGGGAGCAACATTGCTGTATGCCAGATCCTGCCTGAGATCTTGTACCTGTCCTTGCCTGGTTTCCTGCCTTGTGTCCTGCCTTGGCCCTGTTGGACTGACTCCTAGTGGAACCTTTGGATTCTGGACCGGATCTGGACCACATTTCATGGGTTACCCCTGGGCCCAGCACACTCATAATCCCAGTTGCCAACAAAAGCCATCAAGGGGCAAACAACAGAGAGGACTGACAGGAGCCATTACCTGGGCATCTGCACACCTGTCCACAACTTCTCTGTCACATGAGCAGCTTACCTGTGGGGAAAAGGAAGAGGAAGGAACCCAGTGCTGACCAGACCAGCAAGGCAGGTTGCACCCAGAGCCCAGGCTTCTGATCTCTCTTCCTGTGTCCTGGAGAGGGACCAACTTTCATTTCTGCTTCTCCCAGGGTGACACAGAGGACCTTCCACCGACAGACTCCCCAAGAAATAACTACAGAGCCGCGCCTGGTAAGTAAAGGGAAGACACAGGATGAGCATCACTCAGCTTTGCTGAGTCGTGTCACCGTCACCAGTTACATTTGGGACTTTTTAGCTTAGGAGAAAAAGGTGATGCGAGCCAGTGTGGTGTAGTGGTTGGAGTGCTGGGCTAGGACCTGGGAGAGACTAGGGTTCAAATCCTCCCTCAGCTGGGAGGCTCGCTGGGTGAGCTTGAGCCACTGTGGTGTAGTGGTTAAGAGTGGTGGACTCGTACTCTGGGGAACCGGGTTCGCGTCCCCGCTCCTCCACATGCAGCTGCTGGGTGACCTTGGGCCAGTCACACTTCTTTGAAGTCTCTCAGCCCCACTTACCTCACAGAGTGTTTGTTGTGGGGGAGGAAGGGAAAGGAGAATGTTAGCCGCTTTGAGACTCCTTAAAGGGAGTGAAAGGCGGGATATCAAATCCAAACTCTTCTTCTTCTTCTCACTGCCTCTCAGCCTAACCTACCTCACAGGGTTGTTGTAGGAAAATGGGTAAGAGGAGAAAGTATGTAGGCCACCTTGAGCTCCCTGGAGGAAAGGTGGGATTAATAATAATAATAATAATGAAATAAGAAATGACATAGTAGAAGTGTATAAAATTATGCGTGGCATAGAGAGAGTGGATGGCAGAAACTAATTCTCCCTCTCTCATAACACTGGAACCCATTGGCATCCCATGAAGCTGAATGTTGGAAGATTCAGGACTGAAGTGAAGGACACAAGACAGGTGTTGATCATCAGGTGAGCTGTGCATAAGCAAGCTGCCAGCTCGCTCTGCCGAGGCTCTTTTTATTAGCACAATATGCAAAACTAGTCAGATACATTTTGGACTGTGCCCTTTACACATCTTCCAATCATGAAATCGTGGGGTGGTACAAAGTTATTTTGGCACCTGTTTCCACTGCGTCACTTTCCCCCTGAACAATGTTTAATCGAAAGAGACAAAGGTCACAGACAGGGCACGGCAGACTACTAAGAGAGCAAAGGTTAGATAGAGGACATGATGTTCAGACAGCTGTGGCTTGTCTGCGGGTGGAAGTGTGCTCCACACCCGGCGGTCATTCCTTCACAGGACAGATGAAAGAAACAACTACTTCATGCTGCACCTAGTTGAACTGTGGAACTCTCCCCCACAGGAGGCAAGGACGGCCACCATCTTGGATGGCTTTCAAAGAGCATTGGGCAATTCATAGTGGAGGAGAGGGCTATCAGCAGTGACTAGCTGTGACGGCTAAGTTCTGCCTCCACAGCCAGATGCAGAGATGCTTCTGAATACCAGTTGCTGGAAGCCACGAGAAGGGAAAGAGAGGGCTCTTGTGATCAGATCTTGCTTGGGGGCTTCCCACAGGCATCTGAGTCACCTCCGTGAGAAGAGGATGTTGGAAGAGACGGGCCATTGGCCTGACCCAGCAGGCTTTCCTTAGGTTCGCTATGGAGTAAGTGCAGGGGAACTTACACCTGCTCTCATGTCTTCCTTGTAAGATTCCTGGAAGCAACTGGCTGGCCACTACGATAAGAACATAAGATCCCCCTGGATCAGGCCAAGGGCACCCACAGAACCTGAGCACAAGAGCAGTCTCCCCTGTGGGAAGTAGGATGCTGTACTAGATTAGCCCGCTTCAGCATGGCTCCTCTTCTCCTTACAGCCCCCGAGAACCCAGCCCAAATGTGACTGTTCCAGAGACCAGCCAGCAGACAACTGGCATAGTTATATCTGAGGATGAAAAACAACCTATGTATAATTTTTATTAAATTTTCTGTTTTACAATTTAATATACTCATTTTACATCCTTAAGATACTAATGACTTCCCTTCTTCTTTTTCCATGGTTCATTTTGGTTCATTAACGCTGCCAGTGTTTACGGCTGTACACAATTATTTCCCATATATTCAATCAACGTTTTCCAATCTTCTCTAAACGTATGTTCTTCTGGTTCTCTTATTCTATATGTTAAGTCTGCGAGTTATGCATATTCTCTCAACTTAAGTTGCCATTCTTCTTTAGTTGGGACCTCGCATGTTTTCCATTTTTGGGCTTACAAAACATGGGCCACAGTAGTAGCATACATAAATAACTTTTTTTGACACCTGGGAATTTCAGTCTGAATTATCCCCAATAGAAAGGACTCTGGGTTTGGGGGGAAAGTACTTTTCAACATTTTTTCCCAGTTCATTATGGATCATTTCCCAATACTCTTTTACCCTTTTACAAGTCCACCACATATGAAAGAACATTCCCTCCACCTATTTGCATCTCCAGCACTTATCTGATTCAGTCTTATACAGTGGTACCTTGGATTAAGTACTTAATTCGCTCCAGAGGTCCGTTCTTAACCTGAAACTGTTCTTAACCTGAGGTACCACTTTAGCTAATGGGGCCTCCCGCTGCTGCCGCATGATTTCTGCTCCCATCCTGAGGTAAAGTTCTTAACCCGAGGTACTATTTCTGGGTTAGCAGAGTCTGTAATCTGAAGCGTCTGTAACCCGAGGTACCACTGTACATCTTAGCAAGCCTAAAGGTAAAGGTAAAGGAACCTCTGACCATTAGGTCCAGTTGTGACCGACTCTGGGGTTGCAGCGCTCATCTCGCTTTATTGGCCAAGGGAGTCAGCGTACAGCTTCCAGGTCATGTGGCCAGCATGACTAAGCCGCTTCTAGTGAACCACAGCAGCGCACGGAAACGCCGTTTACCTTCCCGCCGGAGCGGTACCTATTTATCTACTTGCACTTTGATGTGCTTTTGAATTGCTAGGTTGGCAGGAGCTGGGACCGAAGCAACGGGAGCTCACCCCGTTGTGGGGATTCGAACCGCCGACCTTCTGATCGGCAAGTCCTAGGCTCTGTGGTTTAACCCACAGACCATCTGTGACTCCTTTTCAGGTAGCATGGCTCTTCTCCTCCTTACAGCCCCCCAGAACCCAGCCCAAATGTTCTGGAGAAGGTGCAAGCATCAAGGCACACTGCCGTTCCCCCGCTCTCGTCGCAGCAGGGGCTCCGCCTTCCAGCAGACAACTGGCATAGTTATATCTGAGGATGAAAAACAATCTAGTCCATAAGATTTATGTCTTTGAATACTCTATTCATCCATCAGAGCGCGAGGCTCCTGGGGGAATAATGTCGCCTTTTGTTTCTCTGAGAGGCCCCTGCCTACCTCCCCTTCTTCTAAGAAGAGCTGGATGATGGCAGATGAGGTGGTCTGCAGCCAAGAGCGTGTACCTGTCCTGGCTGCAAGAAGGTGTGTAGGTAGCTTAGCTCAGGAAGTCCTCTGCCCCATCCCCCACAATCTTAACAATTTGGAGCACGCAGATTTGCACGCTACCCGTGGCTCCGAGTGAACAGAAGGGGTTTTTCTTTCTCTTTTTAAATTGATTTGATGGGGGGGGATTCAACTGATGATAATACTGTAATATAATAATAATAATTTATTATTTATACCCCGCCCACTCTGGTCAGCTCCCAATCAAGTGTTAAAACAATACAGCATTAAATATTAAAAACTTCCCTAAACAGGCTGCCTTCAGATGTCTTTTAAAGATAAGATAGCTGCTTATTTTCTTCACATCTGAAGGGAGGGTGTTCCACAGGGCGGGCGCCACTACCGAGAAGGCCCTCTGTCTGGTTCCCTGTAACCTCACTTCTCGCAATGAGGGAACCGCCAGAAGGCCCTCGGAGCTGGACCTCAGTGTCCAGGCTGAATGATGGGGGTGGAGACGCTCCTTCAGGTATACAGGACCAAGGCCATTTAGGTCTTTAAAGGTCAGCACCAACACTCTGAATTGTGCTCGGAAATGTACCGGGAGCCAATGCAGATCTCTCAGGACTGGTGTTATGTGGTCCCGGCATCCACTCTCAGTCACCAGTCTGGCTGCCGCATTCTGGATTAATTGCAGTTTCCGGGTCACCTTCAAAGGTAGCCCCATGTAGAGCGCATTGCAGTAGTCCAAGCAGGAACATAAATGGTGCTCTAGAATGGTCTGAACTTCTAGTGTGGGACCGAAAGAAAAATCACACATGCTATTGGGTTAGGCGAGTGCAAAACACATTCACAGCTTGAGTGCTGGAGGGTGTTCTTCAAGGGTACAGAACCTAGGGCTCTCCTCCAGATGTTGCTGGACTCCAACTCCCATCAGCCCCAGCCAGCATGGTCAGGGAGGGTGTGAGCTGGAGTCCAGCAACATCTGGAGGGCCACAGATTCCTCATCCCTGGAGTACATGTCTCAAACCCAGCACACACCCCTTTAACATACCTGAAACTCAACCTGGTCAACAGCCTCCAAGTTTTCTGAAGGAACACCTGCCAGACTTTCTGCTTAGGGTATCCATATCCAAGCACCAATTATAAAAATGAGAACTGGCCTATTCTGATGGCCTAAGGAAGTGGAAAAACCTCAACATCACGGTACATTCCTTTAAGACATATCTAATAAAGCACATCTCTGTCGCAAGTCATTTCATGAGGAATGCCATTCTCTTGGGAAGCTACATTGACAGACTTCAAAATACTCGCTCATTTGTTCGCGATGTTTGTTTTCCACAGTGCAAGAAGCTAAAAAGCAACCATTAGTGTTTAAACCAGTGGCTCTAAAAAATAAATAAATGGGGGGGGGGACCTCTGCCCCCTTGGTTCCATAAATTCATCCCCAGTGCCCCCTACCCTATAAAAAGCATTGTTCAGCACAGCGGTTTGCACAACCCACTAAGGAAGATCATAACACAATAAAATTATAAATGAGAGCAATTAATTGCATATTTATTCAGAATCCAATTGAAACTAGTTAGTTTAATTAATATAACAAATCCGATGGACTTGATCAAGCAACACCAGTTTTTCAAAGTCTGAAAAAAGCTTTTGAAGCTCCCGAACAATCAACCAGGAGGGAGAGAACATGCCAGTCAGGCATGTGTCTCTGCCA